CTAGGTGTTTTGCAAAGGATGATCCTCAGTTATTCTAATGTGCCATGTTGCTGAAATTGGAACAAAAGAGTCATTAAGTAGATATTTTTAGGCAAATAAAATTAAGTAATGTGCTTAAGGACACAAGGCCAAGCAGAAATGAAAACAGGTTCCCTGGTTATCTGTCTAGGGTTCTTCTGAAAGTAGCCTTAACATGAAAGTTCAAAAGACTTTAAAGCCATTTATATTATTAGAAGATAAAAATAGATGTTTTGCCTTAAACGAGTGGCCAAAACTGAAACAAAGTACATGAATTTTGACTCTCATCATTTGATCTAACAACTAAATTGTTTCCTCTACTCAAAGCCAAAGTTGTAGAGGTGTGACTTCTCATTAGTAAGCTCTTCCTCCACCCAAAATTCTCAAGTTACATCTGGGGTAGACTACTGACCAGTTCAATCTAATTCCCAGCATGTACATTTTTATTTGCTTCAATCCCAGTGGCTGAAACCATTTGGCATCTCTCTTTCCACTTTGTAATCTACTGATCACAGAGACATTTCATAGGGTAACAGCCCTTCTCCCCCACAAAATATCCAAGTAACTAACTTCCAGGCAGATCTGATTCCTTCAGGGATTGCCCACATTTTCATTATTATGTAGTCACATCACAGTGCTTTTCACATCTCCCTGCCTCAGTGTAGGCTGTTTCCAAAACGTAGCCATTGTGGTTTAGTTCCATTTTCATTTACTGTATTAAGAATAGTAGATCACAGTGTGGTGTGCTTAGAAATATAAATTATGAAATATATTTGTATCTTCATTAATTTATCTCAACAAAGTGTTCATAAGCGAATTTTATATAGCTGTTTTTATAATCAAGTGGTCCTAGTGGCATTTTTACATAAGTAAATAAACTTAAAAATCTTTTTCTGTTTTTCTAATAATTTACAGCTATATAATGATGGTTTAGATAATCAAAGACACATGAAGTCATTTCTATTTTATGGGACCGCTTTGATATATTTCTAGCAAGACAGAAAGTGGAAATACGCCACTTTATTTCCTGGGTGGTTTGAGGACTGCATCAGGGAATGTGTAGAGAATCTCTGATACACATTTCTGATTGAGATGTCATGTAAAACACTCTCACCTACCTGTCATTTCAAAAGTAATGGACAGGAAAGGTGCAGCACTAGCCTTCTGTGTACTCTGATACTTACTTTCTGAAATAACAGGGAAATTGGACCATGAGCATAGTCTTTACTTTTTTTTTCAAAATAGCTTTGACTAAAGTAGGCTAGTTTGTAGAAATGGTATATAAAGACTACAATGATAAAGAATTTGCATTTCATGTAGGGATAGTGGCTATGTTTATTCTCCTTATTTTGTTGCAGAACATGGGAAAACATGAGCTTTTTGTTCATCCTTCAGTCGACCCATTTGCAGTTCAATCATCTTTCCCTCCACCCATGCTTCCATGGATCCTCCAAACCATTCTGCTGGTTTATCTCATTCTCTCTGTCATCCTACAGGCTCGTGGTACAGACTGTCCTTCTTAATAACCTCAAATCCCACAGACCTTATCCAGATTTCACTGTGAATTATTACATATTTTTTCTACAAAGGGATGTTCTTAAGTTTCCTATAATATAAATCACAGCAAGCTTCGTGGTGTTTTATAAGGGATGCTTTTGGTTTCCCTCATTTAAAAACATGTTCAATCTGTTTCAAATGGGAGAATTTCTCAGATACTATAGTTTAAATCTTTCACTTCACTTTGTGCTTGTAAAAAATCAATTCATGTTCATGCATCCAGTGATCAGCAACACTTCATCAGCTTTCTAGGGCTTACACCAATAACCTCCCCATGGGCAAGACTTCTTCCTGTCATTTTCTGATAAGGGTAGATTTCATGCCAGCATAAGCTGGAGATTCTTCACAGCCTACTGGAATTCTGCTCAGCTGCCTGGACAGAAATTGTCAAAGGTGTTACTACTAAGTCTTCTCAGTTGTCACGATTGGGAGGGTTGCTTATGGCCAGAAACAATACATGAATAAAATGTGGACTACTCCAATATCAAGTAGATGTACTTTTCCTATTGTTTAAATATGTGATCACCAATTTAATAAACATTCTGATGATATAATTCAATTGACACAGATAAGATACTAAGTTGTGAATATCATACATTACACTTTGAGTACTTTAATAATATATATTTCAATTTTCTGGAAATTAAATACATTAGTTTTAAGGAGGAAAATTCTTATGGCCTGGTATTGTGTGAGTCAGTTAATAGTAGTGAATACCTTGATGAATAAAATTATTTAAAGTGACTCTGTTCTTGTGCTAAGGTGATCATTTCCTGTATAATATGTGCCAAGATAAAAAAGGAAGTTGTTGTGAATTTCATGTCACTTGTTTTCAGTATATTTGTATCCAGAAATTTTATTTATGAGTTAGTGTATTCTACTTTGAGTTAATGTATTTTTAATGGCTTGGTTACATGTGAAAACAACTTTTCTAGAATATATAGAGTGAGTGAATCTGCCAAAATAACATCATAGAATTTGTTCTTCAAATTAAGTATAATATTAATGGTTTTTAGGGTAGGTTGTTCATTGTGACACAGTCAGAATTTCTTGAGATCAGTACCTTCTTGTCAGAATCGATGCAGGGACTTATTTTGGGAGGTTTCTCTCTCTTTATAAAGTAAGTCTTCATTCTTCCATTTTTATTCAGTGAAGATAGACTGAACACTCTTCACAGTCCACGGTCACATTGTTCTCCATTCACATGCATTTAGTCTCTACACGTCACCCTTGGGATGCCAGTGCATTGAATAAGTTTTCTACTGGGAAATGTGAAGTGCTTCCAGGGTAAATTCATACACTCTAAGTTCTGAGGGGTGAAAACGGCTGCAACTTTTAGGAATAATTGACTGTTTTTGCAGACTACCAGTTTATTAGTATTCTTTGTATTTAACATGAAAGGACACATTTATAAGTTATTCATGTTACATGCTTACATGAGAAATATTAGTTTGAGAAGAACTGATTATTTCCATTTCTGTTTATCTTTGCTTTGGCATTTGCTTAGTTCAACAGATACATCATAACAATAATATTCTTTTTGTTTTCCTTTTCTTCTGTGACTTTTATTTTTGGTGCTCTGCTGTGTTTTGACAGCAGTGGGGAACCTGCGTGACAAAATGATTTAAAAATATATCCAGTTGCAATTCAGAATTCTGAAGGCTCTGCTGAAAGTAATAACCTGCAGGACATAATTGACATTGAGAAACTAAAACCTGATCTGCCTCTAGCAATGAAATTATACTACCCTGAAAGGACTGCTATAATAAATCCACCCAAGAGTGTTAAAAATGTACTCATTAAAGTGGCCAAGAAAATATTAATGTATTAAAATGACATGTTTTATGCTACTTCTTACAACTTCAAGACACATTAGTAGTAAAATGTACCCTTAGGCTACATTTCTAAATGAGTTGATATGTGTGTAAAGTTAGTAGCTACAAAACAATTAAATTTGCAAGCTAAAGATGCAAAACCTCAATGCTTCTTTTCCACGAATTGCTTGTCACTGGTGCCACTCCTCCTGGGGAGGTGAAGAGTTCTCTCTCCTTTTGTTTTTTGAAACACTTCTCTTGGTTATTTCCCTCCTTTTCTGGTCATCCTTCACTATGTATTCACTCCCCACCCCCCACCCCCTTTTTGGTCTTTCCTCTACTGACGTCAACTAAGGTCTTTATCTTTATTTTCTTCCTTTTCCAACCAATGTACTTGCTGGGAAATAATATCCTATCATGCCCGCAATTTGCTAAATGCAACATTACTCATCTTTTCTGGCAAGATCTCTCCTTTGTTTTTACTTTTCTTTAATGGTGTTCTTTAATCTATGTTGTTCCCTCTGGCATTTCTGACCCCCTGAACTGTAGGGCACATACTCATCGTCACTCAAGTGCCACTTCCTTTCCCCATGATGGTTTCTATTGCTCGTAGCCCCTTACAGTTACTCCAAAACTCATTTATGGTTAAAGAATATTGTATTGTAACTATCGGTTTGTTTGCATGCCCCCATGATGACCATGAACTTGCCCTGACATGAAGTCTGTATTGACATGATCTCACCACCTTACACAATTTTTGGAACTCTGTTGGCAACTAAAAAATATATGTTGAATAGATCAGTGATAGACATCCCGCTATTGTTCAGACAGAGGGAAATGGATAAGGGTTAGTTTAGAGCATTGTTTAAAAATATTAATATTTGTGTGAACTTAAAAGCTACTAATTGAATGTAAACTTGATCCAACAATGATTAGAATTTCAGACTAATATAATATATAACAATATACACTGAGCCCTGGCCATGTCAAAATCACTTATCCTTTTGCTAGTGTATCGCATCTGGTCCAAAACAGATTTAAACAAGCAAACCAAAAAATTTAAGATGTGTTTAATTACAGGTTACAAAACAGTTGTGCCTTTGGGTTAAATAATTTTTTTACTGTAGTTTGATTCTGCATTTATCTGTATTTATTCCATTTAAACTCAAATTGAAATTTTCACTCAATATTATAATTTTTTTCATGTTATTTATATTTTATATAAATAGCAAAAGGAGGTGTTTTATATAAGCAGGTTTTATTTCTTATAGAAAAAAAACTTAGGGTTTAGAATAAATACTTCTTTGCATATACTTAACAGATACATTTTTATTCTACTTCTATAATTAATTACTCCAGCTAAATTTTGATTCACAGCCTAAATGTAGAAAATGTAATGAGAGACTAGTCAGCAAATCAGAATTGACCAAAGACGGAATTGAAATAAATTTTTACAACCAAAATTTAGATTGCTGTTCACCATAGTGGTTATCAACCATGATGTGAACAGAAATATGGCTACCCATACCCCGGCTGGCTGAGTATATGTATCCTAGCAGCATGCCATGCTCAGTCTATATGAATGATCCTTGAGAAGAAAACACAGTTTACCTTCTTTGTCCTTGTGTGTATTCAAGTGTGAGAGGAGGTTTTCATTGGTCTGCACGCAGTATACCTCTCGGGTCTGGACCCCTCCTCCACAGAGGGCTGTCTGGTTGCCTCGCCTCTTGTCCTGCTGACTGAGCAAAGGGTCCACGCGGCACTCGGTCCACTCTGTGGTTCTCCAGCCGTACCTGAATAAAGAAAATGCCGTCAGTGGCAACCATGTTTATTAAAAAATACTTTGCCCTACTCTTCTCATATTTTTTTCTTAAGAAAATTATTTCACGAAACACCTCTTGAATCAATCACAGACTGCCACATCCACAGTGCAAGTCCACATTCAATCTCTTTATCCTCAGCAGTACTCCATTTAAGGAGGAGTTAAATTTAGGATGATCCTATTTTAATTGCAATTACTGGAAGTTGCTTATAAATATTTTATGAAAAGAGAGCATAGTGCTGAAAACATGAAATTTTATGTTCAGTTAAGCTGAACTCAGGTTTGCCCTTTCTTAATACTTATAAACAAAAGAGGATTGAATCTGAGGGTGGAAAACATTCTAAGTGGTGATCAACCCAAACATTTGTTTTGCATTTAATAAAATGCATGAAAATTGCTTCTTCACACTAGGTCAAAATTATAATGGTGTGTTAGGATTAAAAAATAGAACATTCACAATTTAGAGTTTTCTCTTTATTGTCAGGAATGAGAGTAGTTTTCTGTAGCATTGAGCATCCCCAATGAACGCTGATAAATGATGAAAAGAGCTGATGTTTCTAATCAGTGGACCCAGGAAAGACGATCTGTGGTTCTAAATTAAAGCTCTTGTCAAGATTATGATGCAGAAGAAATGTCAGGAGCTTGTCAGCCCAAAACATGCTTTAAGGAGGTGGTTGGGGAACTGCTTCCCGATGCCACTGCAGATAGAAAGTGATGGCATTTCTCCACCTCAAGGAAAATGGATATTCTAAAAGCACAAAGAAAATGGCTCATGTAGCACTTTGTGTCACTTTAACCAAGACGCTTCCTCACTAATCAGATGAACAGCCAGCACAGGTACAAATGGATGTGCTAATGCTCATCTCAATTAGGCAAAAAGGTTAACTGGGCTCTCAGATGTCTGATCTAGATGCTTTGGTCCTTCAGTGGTAAAGTTTCATGACAATAAGGCTGACTTTCAGGCTCGTTTTTCCTTTGTGTAAGTGGGGATTCATGGCTTAACAGGGGTGTAGGACTGGGGGCATCAGGAATAACACTCGACACATGTTTATAAAGGGAGTACAGCATTCAGGTTAATTCTGAAAACAGGGATAATTGGTGTCTTGGGTGAAGGGGATGGGGGTGAGGAAAGTAAAATCAAACAAGTCATAGGGAGGTAAAAATGAATATTTTATATTTTTATAGAATGGAGTCTCAATTTAAGTCATCCTAAGGAGGCCTATGAAAGGAATATATTTTCAATAATTTAACTTGGTTACACATTCCAAAAATGCTACTCCCCCAAAAGGGGGAGAAGAAAGAGACTCAGAATACATATTTATTTCATTAATAGTGCTTGAATATCTGATAGGGGGAAAAACAAAGCACCTAGCTTGGGATAAAACTAGAAGACACTGATAAGAAATAAAACACTCTGGTTGGAGATCCAGGCAAATTCCTCGAGTCTATTCTGAAGGAATGCGAATCAGTGGGACTGCGGAGAAGGCAGGGAGGACCTCTCTGGAGTTTTCAGTCACTTGTCACATTAGGGGAAAATGGGCAGTTCCCAAGTGCTGTAGAATTGAAGATCCCATGTAAATTATCACTGTCTTTGTTATTGTTAATGTTATTGTTAGAATAGTGGGGATAGTCATTTTCCTCCTCACTGGTTCGTGATGTTCGAGCCGTATGCATGTTCGTCACCTGCTTGGAGTAGTCCAGAGAAGCTCCTCACAAAACTTGGGTGCATCTTTTGAGAAGCTAAGGTTTTGAAAGATGTTTTTATAAATATGCCATTTTTAAAATTTATTTACTTAGTTTTAGAGAGTGGGGAGGAGAGGGAGCAAAAGAGGGAGAAAAACATTGATGTGAGGGAGAAACATGGATCAGCTGCTTCTCATATCTGCCTCAACTGAGGACCGAACCTACAACCCAGGCACGTGCCCTGACTGGGGATAAAACCAGAGACCTTTGTGGAACAAAAGTGAGCTACACACTGAGTCACACCAGTCAGGGCTAACTATTCTATATTTGAACTAAACTGAAATGTATTTATTGCCAAGGTAATTCATAGTAATGGCTTGGAAGTGTTGTTTTTAAGGACAAAGAGAATATGGATATACTGCCAAATATTCCAGAATTAGCCTTTTTTGTCTGAATGCAATGGGTGTTTATCAGGCACTTACTATGTGTCAGACCCCGTGACACAAGCTTCTCATTTAAAAAAAGGGAGGGGTGAGTGGCCACAATGTTTGTCCTCAAGGAGCTTCTTGTTTTGATGTAGTATTTTACTCTTTACATAGGATTTGTTATATGTAGCACTGAATTTTAATAGGACTTGCTCAATAAGCAACAGGAACCTATATTTTGAAAGTTTATTTTACTTTTGGCGTCTCTGTGCCACACAGGAAGAAGGATGGTTGTCTTGAGCCACACATTAAATATACCACAACACATAATCACACAAAAAACCTCATACTGTTTTAAGTAAATTTATGATTTTGTATTGGGCCACATTCACAGCCATCCTGGGCTGCATGTGGCCCATGGGCCACAGACTGGACACCTCCACAAGTGGGCTTGATAAAGTGTAGCTTGGCGACTAAATCCAAACTGTCTCTTATTTTCGTAAATAAAGTTTTATTGCAACATATCCATACTCATTTACATATTGTCTATATCTGCAGTGGTAGAGTTGAATCATTGTGACAGAAACCTATGTGGCCCTAGGACATCTGCAGAAAAAGTTTGCCAACACCTATTATAGAAAATATATAAAAAAGAGAATTGCTGATAAAATTCGAGCCTTCATGGAGACTTATAAATACAGCTTATTAAAGACAGTTTTATTCATTAAAATCACTTTTAGTATAGTGTTTATAAAAAAGTATTTTATTTTCTTACTTAGAATTTGTAAAAAATCACTGTAAGTCCACCGCTATTCAGCTAAATTAAACAGCTGAACAGACATGTGGTTCGGGCAGATGCGGCAGCAGAGGCTGCAGTCCGTATCTACTCACGTGGCACAGGGGGCGGCTGCGTCTCTCTGAGGCACGCAGGGTTCTTTTTCCTCCAGCTCTGGACACTCTTTCTCACTGCCAATTGGAAACTGCCTGATGATCCTCGTCCGTGCACGAGTGCCTTCGGGGGACGCCATATCGTGGCACGTTTTTGAGCAGGGGCCCCATTCTGACCACTCCGACACCTGGCATTCTTTGGTGATCACGCAGGACTGGAAGGTCATTGGCAGCTTCTCCTGCTGGCAGAATCTGCAAAAGAACATCGACATTCTCATCACAGGCAAACAGGCAGTTACGAACTTTCTCTTCTGCGCTCCAGAGTGAAATCAGCCTGGACGGTTTTATTTCTACTTGGAGGTGAAATCCTAATTTCAATGAAAACACATCAACATTTATGATGTGTAAAAGCAGTTAGACTCAAAGCTAACATTTGCATTTTTCCTCCTATTTTGTGGGAGTTGTTAAACTATTCATGGGAAATAGAAAATAAAGGAACTAAGCAAAATTAGCTGAAACTAAGTTTACCATATTGTTCATTTCATTCATTCCAGATTTGTTTTAATTTAGAAAATGAGAAACCAAGAACTGTTAACATGATGATTTCCATTCTGCTTAGTGATCTAAATAAACATGTCTGGCTAACTTAATACAATACTGCTTTAAACAGAAAAAATAATTTAATATATGTTTAACATAATTTTTATCATTTGAAATGTCACAATTCTAATGTATACTTAGATAAATATATCAACTTTTCCACTTTACACTTTAAGACACAGTATACATATGGATATCTTAGATACACCATAAGCATTATAAATATAAACTATTTATACCTCTATTACTATGGATATATCCTCTAAATCTCTAATATTTATCCATAAAATATTGGTGTTCAAACTCTTACCTATCTGTGCCTTCTTGAATTATAGGGATATTGGATTTTAAAGTGTAATGCGCATATATGAAGATAAAGATGATGTTATCAATGTCGATAACTAAGGGCATAAGCACTTTGAGGAAATCCCTGGAATTGAGCGGCCTTGTGTTGATCTTGGTTGATAACCAATGGTGCATGTTTACAAGACAGAGGCAGTCTGTTGCCGTGATAGAGCTGTTTGTTCCAGTGGGAGAATCCTCAGATAATTCTGCTTGTCATGCAGGTGCTATATTTAACTATGGTAATCAACCACACAGAGAGGCAGGTCCATTTTAATGTAACAGCTCACATTCAATCTTCTTAATTCTACTGGCATGGGTACAAAAACTGTTCTTTTAGGAGACAGAGCTCAAAGCATCAAAGTCAATTTGATTTGAGAGGTCTGGGAAGTAGGATCATGTAAGAGTGGGGGGTCAAAGGACATTGTGAGTCAGCTCTGTTTTTTTTATAACGACAGAGAGAACTAAACTCCCCTTTTGCTCAGATATCATGTACTGAGTATCAATGGTGCATCAGGTACGGCATTAACCACAGAACAAAACTTTTTCTGTGATAAGTAAGTTTTTACTCTTATAAGTGAGCTTGTCCATGAAAATCAGACAAAATAATGTCCAAATGATAACCTGTATAACTTTCCTCTTACAAAATTCCCCCATTCTCCCCTTAGATATATGTTCTATTCTTCATGAGATTGGTTTCATATACATATTTAGATATTATCCTCTGTATAATTTTTATCAAATTCATATGGTATATACAGGCACAGATTTAACCATCCATTTGAAACTTTTATAATGAAGGGGACCATCAGTTAACTGCCTCCAATTATTCTGGAAACCTGATTGAAATTGGGATGTCAGCTATGATATTAGATCAAATTATTTATGATAACATGGCCCCTTTGGATAACTTCTATCTACATTGGGAAAACAACTATAAATACCTGGTAGGCAGTCATAGCTTTGGCCTTCCCTAAATGTAGCAACTCCTAGAACAGGGATGATGTGTTTTGTGGGGACTTGCAGGCGAGGACAAGGGCTTGTTTCCATAGATATCAGCTCCTATGGGACATGAAACTTTTAAGCCAAGTCAGCTCTTGGGCCTTCCTAATGTAGGACTTATCTTTCTCCATCTGAACAATGCTATATGGATTTCTAGGGCAATTTCCAGATAAGGAATGTCGATGCTACACGATGGTAAGTTCTGGTTCCTGTTCTATGTGCTTTGAAGCAGATTAATGCCAAATGTGGTCTATGATAGCCTGTGGGTCTTGCACATCTGAAAATCTGTACAGCCTACATTTACAACATGACTCATGTTACCTCATTTAATACTTGCAAATATCCTTTTATGTGGGTGTCAATATTATTTCCATTTTATAGGGAAGGAGCCTCCAAAAGGTTAGGGAATGTGTTTGAGATTATATAGCTTGTCAGTAGTGGGACTGGCAACTGAACATGGATTTTCTAAAATCAGAACCCTGCTTCTCCCCACAGTTTAAACTAACTGTAAACCTCAGTTTGTGAGAGCAAATGCTTTAGCTGAGGCTGACACCAAACTTACTGGCACATTGTGAATCAACCAGCATCACTAGTTCACAGCGCAGGATTTGTACCATCCATGCCCTTTGCACATGTGCTGCTTATCCTAAAGAGGAATTAGTGATTATAGAAAAGCCAGAACGAACACATTGTTTCTGATAAATGTTACAATATTCAATACAGATCCCACGTAAGAAAAATCAGTAGCATAAACATGAGAACAGTATTATGGGATATGATTATATAGCTTTTAATGTATGTGATATCTGTCTGTCTGTCTGTATATCTATCATTTGTCTCTCCTGTAATATCCCCATAGCCCAAACCATCATTTCAACAAATGTGTACTAGGTAACTCTACTTCAAAAGTACAAAGACAAGGTTACAGTAATTAAGTTGGAAGCATATAACTCTGGTTGGGGAGGCACAGAATGTTATATAAAGTAGGTTATTATGATGAATTTTAAACAATATATTAGAATTTGTCAAATTGTGATAAAGGTAGTTAATAGAGATGTGAAAGAAAATAGCCTTTTCTTTGTTGGTGGGGTGGGGAGAATATAGACTTTTCCTTGGCTTTGATGTAAGGAGTTGTGTTAAGCAACAGAAATAAGTAAATTGAAGCCTAGATCAGATTTAGGTAACCGATTATGTAGACCTAGAAAGCACCTCCTGTGGGAAAGAGCGCCATTGAAAGATTTGGAGCAAAAAGGCAGATATTGTATTTCCTGTTAAGTATTCACTATGAGCCAGACATTGGTCAGGCTGAGTGAGAAATCATCATAAACGTGAGGGTGACCCTCAGAATGTCTATTGTGAGTCATGCACTGTGTTTTACCTAGAATAGCTCATACAGTCTTCAAAACTACTCTGTAAGGTAGAGACCAACAGTTTCCCCCCTTTTTTCCTTTCCTTTTTTTAAAAAAGGAAAAGGAAATAGAATCTAAATGCCTTATCCAAGTTTAGAAAGTAGCAGAACTGGGACTCTAACTAGATCTTTCTGCTCGTGAGGTTTATGCAGGTGTCCACAAAGGCAATGGCCGTAGGAATTAAAAGGAGTTATAGACTTTAGAAACTGTACAACCTGATAAAGAGTTGAAAGGGTTAAAAGAAAGAAAGAGATCATTTAAAACTTGCAAGTTTTGCCCTGGTCAGGTGGCTCAGTTGGTTGGAGAATCATCCTGTACACAAAAAAGGTTGGGGGTTCATTTCTGGGTCAGGGCACATACCTAGGTTGCTAACTGGTCTGCAGTTGAGGAGGGCGGGGGGGGACAACTGATCAATGTTTCTCTCTCAGTCTCTCTCTCCCCTCCTTCCTCTCTCTCTAAAATCAATAAGGCATATCCTCAGGTGAAGGTGAATAAAGAAATAAAACAAACTTGCAAGTTTCAAGCTTTGGTCATCCAGCAAGCGGCCCTGCGTTCCTTTGAAATGGAGAACATGGAATGACGTAAGTTTTTGGCAGTTGATAAATGAGTTGGACATTGATATCTCGATTTGATATGGACATATCCAGGACATATCCAAGAGAGACAGAAATGCCCTATAGATAGATCCATAACTAAGGGTCAGGGGTTTAGTACATTTCTGGATGACTTGTATACTTTTAGGAATTATCAGCACACCAAAGTTCAAAGCTAAGGCTATAGGAGTAGCTGAGCACTCACACATTGGGGCTCATTCGAGGCCCACATAATCCACACATGGTCTTACAGTGAACCTGGGTAGGGCCATGAGCACTGTAATATTTATTAACTTCAGTTTTTTTGTTGTTAGTGAGACTAAGTAGTTCACCAAATCATCCATGGTTGCCATAAATTATTAGGCTGTCATCTTCTAACTATTCTTTTGTTTATTCTGGTCATGCAAAAAGTTGACATTATAGAGCTTAGGGGAACTATATTTTCTGGCTCATTATGATTTTCATGAGAACATGACCCTCTGGAAAGTCAAAGTCAAAGTAGAAGGTATGTGGTCTCTATGACAGTTTCCTTTTCACTTATATGGTATGTTCAGGATACCCCACATGACTAAGAAGGAATGTGGTTGTCCTAGCCCTGGCCAGCAAAATATAAGGGTAATGGGGCTTAAACCACATATAGAGTATTACTGTAACTCTACTGACCATTTCAGAAAAAAATAGCATGCTTTGTGAGGTAGATACATTTTTCAAATATGCCTCTGACAGCCATCAGCCAATTGACAGTCATTTCTATGGTCCCATAACTATGCTTACATACAAACACTTAATTTTTAAATTACATTCAGAGATTAACACAGAATATAATATTCAGACACATTTAGTTTTTCTACTAATTCAGTGTTTGCTTTTTCAGTGAAAAAAATGAGTGAACCAAGAGGACTGCCAGGTTTTCTGAGTCCCCAGTTTGTGGCAAGTTATAAAATGATGCGTTCCATGCTCTAGTCAAGAGACCTGGGGTCATGACCTGGGGTGTTCCTCCATCGGCAATGTCGAGTTGCCTGACTCCGATCAGGTAGAGATTACTTTGCCCCATAGCTTTTCTACATGGTGAGAGCACATTTTCCGAAAAGACCATTAAGGTCCCTTTCTTCGTTTAAGTTGTCATAACCTAAACAATCTTATTTCTTATTGGCTTGTGTTTTCAGATAGAATAAAAAAAACTTTCCTGAGCTTTAACTATGTTCAGTTGCATTCTTTTTAAACACAAAATTAAATTTCCTGCAATTTACCATTTATTTATGAATGTGAATAAACAGTTTACAATTCTTTGAGCTAATTTTATTCT